ACAAAAGTACATGTACATGTAGATTCATAGAATGTTCACTGTTATACATGTATATCACTAGCGATAAGATAAGGAATCAACATATACTAGTATACTATTGGTATATTATTAGGATACTATGTTATTTTTACTCGTCTCAATTCTACCACAGTGTATACATGTATATCAATTTGTACATGTACATGTATACAAGTAAAGTTTTTAAATTTAGTCTCTCTTTTTATTGACATTAGCACAAATGATGTTGATTACTATAAGCGATTTTCTTTTCATTCTCTTTAACCTTTTCTCTCTTTCCATCGTTTTCTGCTCCCCCTCTCTCTCCCTCTCTCTTTCTCTCTCTCTCTCTCTCTCCCTCTCTCTCTCTCTCTCTCCCTCTCTCTCTCTCTCTCCCCCTCTCTCTCTCTCTCTCTCCCTTCCTCTCTCTCTCTCTCTCCCTCTCTCTCTCTCTCTCTCTCCCTCCCTCCCTCCCTCCCTCTCCCTCCCTCTCCCTCCCTCCCTCCCCCCAGGTGGTGGTGAAGCAGGTGGTGAAAGTGATTCTAAAGAAGGTCCTGAAAGTGGTGATGCCTCAGAATTATTAAGTACAAAGACAGCTGCTGCCATAGCACTGCCTGAGGATCAGACTGTAATGCAGATATCATGTGGAGCATTTCATACTGGTATGACATCATGTGACATCATTTATGTCATGTGTCATCATTTTTTAAAAATTGTACTTGTGATTTTTTTTGGTATAAATACATGTACATGTATACAGGGTTTTCCCACAAAGCATGCTTAGATTTTTTGAGTAATTTTAAAAATTCACAAAAAATCAAATTTTAATTAGAATGATCTCAACAACATAAGATCATGTTATAAAATTCAATAATAGTATTTTCTGTTGTACTGTACATTATTAATTGTTATTGTTATTATTTATTTTTTAGCTTTGTTGTTGCATAGTGGAGACGTGTATGTTTTTGGTAACGGTAACCACGGGCAACTGGGACAAGGAAATAACAAACCATGGTATTTTTTACTTTTATGTTTTATTTAATTTTATTTTATTTATTTATTTATTGACACATGTACATTGTATATCTTCCAATTATTTGTTAATTACTATTGTTATTAGTGTAATTTTTATTTATTTATTATCATTCTTCTTCTTATTATTATTTATACTATTATTATCATTCTTATTATTATTATTATTATTATTATTATTATTTATAGTGGTCATCCAGTGAAGGTCCCATTACCTGGACCAGCTCAACAGGTTTCATGTGGTGACAATCATACAGTGGTCCTACTGGCTAAT